AAATAATAATACACTAATACATTTATTTGACATATAATATAAAGATAAAGTGTTTATCAAAAATAGTTATTTTTTATATTTAAAAAAATATATAGTATTAATTGAATGTAAAAGATTTGTGGCAGTTTGAGTGCTATTGTGGCGAGTGTTGCAAGCCCAAACGTCACAATGATAAAATATATATATATAGAAGGTTTTCTATTACTTAATGGAAGGATGTTTTAATGTTAATTTTTTAAGGATTTTATTATCCTAATTAATTGCTATAATCTTCTTTATAGAGAATTATTATTCTAACGTTTACCTTAGAAGTTTACTATTGATTTCATGTCAACCAGATCCTCCTAAGTTGTTTGGAACACTTTAGTATAATTTTCCAAATAACCGTACTAAGCTATAGAGATATTCTTTCATGCATTAAATTTTCTAATTTTATAGAAGTGCTAGTAAAAAGATAACTTATCAAACTTCCATTTTAATATGTTCCTATGTTTTTAGATAGTTATGACATTATATAGAATAATTTTGATGTTAAGTTAAAGAAGGTGACTCATATTTAATTTTTCATATCTTAGTTTTGAATCACTCGTTTAACTTGTAAGGTAGCTTGGATCTTAACTCCTCTTCAACAAGCTTTATGATTGATTTATATTCCTAGAGTTTTCTTGATTTCTTTTATAGATCACTTTGGTTGCTGCTTCTTATCCTTTTTATAATCCTTTTTTGTACTTATGAACGTAATTGTTTTATATCAGATTGAAAGGATTGAACGACTTATAAACCAATTGTTTCATATGGGATTGAAAGGATTGATTGACCGATAAACTAATTGTTTTATATGAGATTGAAAGGATTGACTGATCGACCTATGGTTGATCCGGTGGTCATAGTATACATTATTCTTATGTTATCATAATATTATTAAAAGTTATAAATTTTTATATAATTAGTATTTATAACTAATATTATTGTAATAAAATTAAAATTATATAAAGAAATATAACTTCAATAATATTACAATTAATTTCTTAAATAGTATGTTATAATATTATTGTAGTCATATTTCTTTATATTATTATATATAAAATATGTTATAAACATATTTCTCCCCTTTACTTAATATTTATATAAAAATATTATAAAAATGATCATAATTAGATATTGATTATAATAATTAAATTTATATTAAAAAGTATTATTAGAATTGAATATAAGTATTATATTATTAAAAAATGTATTTTCTATAATAGTAATATTATAATTATGATAATAATATATTATTATTAAAATAATTTTTATAGTTATAATATTATAATTATAGCTAATATATAGTTAATAATTTTAAATAAAATATTTAAATTATTTTAATATTTTTTTTAAGTTATAAATAAATAAAATAAAGGACAGAAAGATGAGAAAGATGAAAGATGAGAAATAATATTAAATTATTTTAATATTTTAATAGTTTTTGTTTCATCACTATTGAATCTTTTGAAAGTACAGACCTTCAGTTTCCAAATGGAATCTGAAAATTATTTAAAGCGGTAACAGCTACCATCCTCTCTGTATATAAGGCTCAAAAGTATATGAGGTCGTTATTACAGAAAGATGAGAAAGAATGCAAGAAGACCTATTCTTGATCTCAATTGCCTTTCTCCTCCTGAAGAATCAGAATTTTCTTCTTCTCCTCATCATCATGATGATAAGGTTTTATTCTATTCATTTACTTATAATCATATCTTATTCATTTATCTATAACTATAACATTGTTATTATTGTTGGAAGAAGAGAGTGAACTATGGAAGAGAGTCTCTTCCTGATCTCAATTATCCTCCTCCCGAATAATCAGAATCATCATCGTCTTCTTCTCCTCACAAAATTACCATAAGGTTCTACACTTCTCTCTCTATATATAAATATATGCATTCATTCATTACTTCATTCATTTTCAATTCATTTCTTAGTTCTTCTCTTTTAACTGTCAGCTTCAGCTTATGGAGACTGCTCATTCATTATATCGTGTCCATTTTCAACAAGAAGGATCACTCTGCACAATGAATTCAACAGTCTTTAAAAGCTCTTCCACAACAATGTTATATGTATTTTAGTGATGTTTTAAACTTCTATCTTTTGCTTTCGGTTCTCTCAATTTGTGTTGTCTCACTGTGTTCAAACAGCATGGCTGTTGTGTGTTATACTAAATTCAGTATTTTTATATACTCTTTTTTTTTTTTTTACAGATTTCCTTACAAATTTTGTCATGTAAAATATATTAAATAAAAGTTCAACTTATTTAATGTCCTTAAATTTAAAATATTTGTTATTTTATTTTATTATGACATAAAAAAATTTATATTTGTGAGTCCTGATATGTTAAAAAGGGAATTTTAGTTGATGTGGTATTTCCGATCCTTGAGAAGAGATTAACTTGGGTTTATTTGGATTTTATTTCTGGACCTATTTTAGTTATCATCTCTCTCAGATATCCTACTTTATTTTGGATTTATTTACTTTTCTTTCTAAACCTCATAATGATTCTAAATATTCAATCCATTCAGACTCTATTGTCTGAAAATGAGTGGGATATAATGTGACTTTGCATTAATAAACTAAGAGTAAATAATGGTTTAGTAGTAAACATTAATTGATTTTATTCTTAGTATAATGAAAAGAATTTTACTTTTAAGATATAATTTTAATTTTGTTAATTTTTGTAAACTTTATTTATAATTAATATGATTAAGTACAAGTTTAGTGTTTAATAATGATTACATATATTTATTAAGAAAATAACATTAATGTATAATTAACTTTTTAATTTCAATAATAGTCAAAAACAATTGACATTAATTCAAAGTATACCGTATTATTTGTTAAAAAAATATTTAAAATTCTTGCATACCTTAAATATGAAACTAATAAACTAGAATATAACTTCCTACATTCAAATCTAACATCAAAGAGGAAAAAATTCTACATTTGACACAGTGAAAAAAAAAAAACAGACTTATGAAACATATGGTTCATGAACTTGTAAATGTAATGTTTATGCCATTTTAGAAGTAAATTTTTATATTAAATTTTAACCAAAAGTTCTTTATTTATTTAAAAGTTAATGTATTAAATAATATATGTGAGTGTTGTACATTTCTCGTGTCAACATAGTGAAGTAAGTGCTGTTTGAATAGATTTTTTTTATTAAGTATTCAAAGAAGAAAAGTATAATAATGTAGTTTTCCTATTAAAGTAAGTTTATGCATATGTTCTCAAAATTCCATTTAAATCATGATAGAATTAAATTTAATTCATAATCAAAAAATTAAATAATCTTTTCTTTTTATTTTATTTCTCTATAAGGAATTTTATTGAAAAGTTTACACACATGAAATGGAAAGATTTGGCATTGGCATTTCTTACTGCACCTCTTTATAAAGAAAATTTCAATTTTACTGTTTTTGAATTACATACAATTTAAAAATTATTTTGGGAAATTAAAAAATATTTAAGATTGTATAATTCATTAATAATTTTTAAATCTCAAAAAAGAAAAGTCTGAGATCGTCTAATTTCAAAAAGTCGAATGACTTCTGGATTATGCATTTTGCTAACTACTTTTACTTGTTACTTTTTATTTGCATATGTAAAAGTTATTTTTAATTTTTAGATTTTACAATATAGAATTTTCTTTTAAGAAAATTTATTTTCAGAATATATAATTCGGAAGTTGAGTTATATCCAAGAGATATTTTTTAATTTTAAAATATACAATCTGAAACCATTAAAATTTGTTTTATATATATATATATATATATATATATATATATGGAAGTACAGGAAGAAACGGTTTATTCAATTTAGCAGTGCATTTGATATCATAGAATAAAAAAGTTGGGCCTTGGCCCAAATCTTTGGATGAGGTTTATTGAATTTGAGGGAAAAAAAAAAAGATTATTGTGATTAGGCATAGAATATAGAATAAATTTGGTTTAATTTGAATGTAATCTCTAATTCAAATTAAATCAATTTTAACTTTAGATTGAAGACAAGGAAAAAAATCATTGAAAATACACCATTAATGTATTTTGAAGATATAACATAAAGATGCTATAAAAAAACTCAGAAAAAAAATCAAATTTATTTTGAACAATGCCAATAAATCATTTTGCAACATGTGAAAGTAAAATGTTTTCTTTATTACGAAGAGAGAAATAGTTATAAATTATTTAATACTTGTTGTATGTAATTGTAACAAAAATCACATATTGACTATGTTTTAAAGACAGTATAATGTCCCTTTATTTTTATTTTAATCCTCNAAAAAGATTATTGTGATTAGGCATAGAATATAGAATAAATTTGGTTTAATTTGAATGTAATCTCTAATTCAAATTAAATCAATTTTAACTTTAGATTGAAGACAAGGAAAAAAATCATTGAAAATACACCATTAATGTATTTTGAAGATATAACATAAAGATGCTATAAAAAAACTCAGAAAAAAAATCAAATTTATTTTGAACAATGCCAATAAATCATTTTGCAACATGTGAAAGTAAAATGTTTTCTTTATTACGAAGAGAGAAATAGTTATAAATTATTTAATACTTGTTGTATGTAATTGTAACAAAAATCACATATTGACTATGTTTTAAAGACAGTATAATGTCCCTTTATTTTTATTTTAATCCTCCATTCTTTTAGAAACTACGATTAGATTTATATAGCATGTGCGGTAACAAACTACGAACAATGAACAGATACAAACCTGTTGCAAACTCGATGGAGGAGGCGACACTAGAGTTTGACAGCAACGATACTGCTGCACCTTCACATCACTTACTACGTTAATTTGACTCAATCTACCAACCTGATGAATGAAGCCACGCTAATGAAAATGGAGGCGATTACGAAAACGAGATAAAGAGAGAAAGAGAGACTCACGAGATGAGAGATTCGAGGTGACCTTAACCTCCACATGGTGCTTCGCGGTGGTGACGACCTCAACCAACTGAACCCGCCTTTCTTTCCTTCTCCCTCTCTATTTTCTGGGTGTTTCACCCTGCAGCATTTCCCTATGCAGTACCTCCAATTTTATAAAGTACCCCTAATTAATAATAAGGTGGTTATTTGTTAATTTTTTTTTATTGAAAATTACTATGCTAACGCCCCTGAAAACTTGGATGTTACAAAAATACACAAAATTTAAAAATTTTGCATCAATAGGTAAAATCTGTCATGTCTCAAATATGAAAATCAATTAATATATTAAACCTTAATAATTTCAATATATAACATAATTCACGTAAAAAAAATTATATAAACCTTGAAATAGTCCTTAAACAATTCCAACTCGATAATAATGAATTTAGTATAATTCTTTAATCTTTTATGTAAACCAACTAAAATCTGAAGTAATATTCACGGTTGTAAATCTCCTCTCTCATACAAGTAAACGAGGAAACTCCCCTTATCTTAGAGTTGAGCAGTACAATCTTCTAGAATGCTCTAACCAACAAGGACTTAAACAATGCTCTACAACCACCAAAAATGTGATGGAAACCGCTCTTAGAGCTGGGATGGACAGAGAAAACAAAAGGACAAGCTACCAACTGCATGCAACCAATAAAGTGGCATGCCCTAGGTTCCAAAACCAGTGGAGGAGAAGGGAAAACGACTTACCCGTCGAAATGAAGAAAAGTGAGTCTAAGTTTTAGAGACAGAGAGTGGAAAAGCTGAAATAAGGAACTCAGATTTTTTAAAAGTTCCTCCTAAGATCTTAGTGTCCTTAGTCTTTTGGGCCTGGCTGCCTCAACATAAGGCCCAACTGCCCTAAGATTTCTCTTATCCTCCTTTATACACCTGTTTATATCTCCAGTTCTCCTTCCAAGCTTAATTCACACCATGACATATTTCCTACTTTAAATTTATCCTCTAACAGTACCCAATCCTCCAAACATTGATATAACTACATTTAAACTTCCAGACATTTACACACCAAACAAAAAATACATATCCGCCAAAATTACTAAATTCTTATTTTGTAACCTCAAAATTTAGAACTCAATATATATATATATATATATATATATAATTATATATATATATATATACGTAGATATAATACCTACCCCTTACTTTCCATTTAATATATCCGAAAGGTGTAATTCTATTATACTGTCTACAAGACATCTGTGAAACCTGAAAATAATAAACACTAATCCTATCTCTGATCACATTTTAATTACTGACCTTGCCCACGTCAAAATCCACTCTCTTTCTCTCTTTCTCGTGCATGCACTGTACTGCCGATAATGGTCACTGTCACTGTTGGAAGCTTCTAAAGCTGTAGTGGAAACCAGTGGCAGTTGAGTAACTGCTCAACCTTTGCCGAGGGAGAGAAAAATATTTCCTGAAAACTCTTCCTCTTCCTTTCATGCACTTTCTTCTTCCTTCACCGAATTCCTGACTTCCATCTTCTCCTCGCCATTTCTCTTGCACTCTTTCATCTTCTCTCTAAATAACCTCAGCTACACGTCTCTGATGCTACTTCAGAGACCGTAGACAACCTTCAATCATGCACCGTGAGCGTTATTCTGATCCGAACCAAACTGAGAACTGAACTGGTAAGTTCTCGTCCCTGCACTTGTCTGTTTTAGTTCATGAGAACCAAATCCTGGTTGCATGCATGGGTTATAGGTTTGAATCTGATGTCCTTTTTGGTATCTTAGATTTAGTGAAAATCGTGGAGGGATTCATTGGTTAGAAAGCGTTATTGACCGAGAGAAAACCTTACGCAACTGAGTCACTGCTTGACCGATAATGGAGCTTTAGTAATTTACAAATTTAATATATGTTTTGATCTGTATGACAGTAATATCGGTGCTGGATGTCTGAAATGTATTGCAATATTGGAATTGGATATGCGTTGAATGAGCAGATTTGAAATGGATGTATTCAGGAAATGTGGTGTAAATTAATGCAGTGATGAGAGTCATGATTTGTACTGTTGATGATTTCTCCAGATAATGTTTGGAATGAATAATGATTTGTAACCTATATGTTGTGGTGATGATATGTTGGAAACTGACAAAATGAAGATTCTGTATTTTATGAGATATAATATGATGTTTTATGTTAAGATTTATGGTGCAAAGAAAACTTCTAAGTTATTAAGCTCGGATAAAAAACTAACTAACTGTGCAGATAGTGTCCTAATCTGGAACATCGATACTCTATATGATTGATGTATGTACGCGTCGCATCGACGGTCTATACCTGTTCGGTTTTCCCTGGACATATCACTTAGAATAAGGACTCTTTCATTTGGAAAGGACCTGATCGAGAACGAGCGTACTTGGTGTCAAGAGTTAGCGTGAGCGTTCGCTTAGCCTAGCGGGTCACAACATTAAAATATAAAGTGAAGTATAGTTAGGACGCTCGGTTTTGTTTACCAGCGTTCGTCATAAAGTGGCGCTTAGTATTATACTGAGCGTTCGTCCAAATGAACCTCAATCTTAGATTGAGCGTTCGTCCAGTTAGCGTTCGGTCTGATACTGAACTGGTTCGTTCCATTGCGTTGGTTGCGGGCGTTTTCCTCCATGCAGCATTCGGTTTCCTATGTGCGTTTTCTTCAAGTTTGGTGCTCGGTCATTGACCTGGCGTTCGTCCTGAGCAGTGTTTGCTTTTATAATTGAACGCTCGTCTTATTATTGCTTCGTGAGCGAACGTATATGGCGTTCGTTCAAATTGTTAATTAACGTTCGGTCTTTGACTGGCAGTGTTGTTTTCTGAATTCAATTATATTTGATTGTTTATCTAAATATTTCTTATTGGCTTTATCCTTTGGATTCTACCTGGAGTCTTTATATTTAAGATTTTTCTAAGTATTACCCATCTCTTCTCAGATCAGTTTTCTTCAAATTATTAAGTGTTGTAATGTAGTTAAGTTGATAAATGGTACGTTTCTTTTGTTCAGAAACGTGGACGTTTGAGTACTGTAATATGTTCGTCCCTATTTATTGAGTGATGAACGTTCTTTAAAATAAAGAGAGTGAACACAGAATGAAAATTTGAATAAGAGAAATTGTGAATATGTGCGAATGGTATTTGGAATGGATTTATTGGATTGGATTATGAAAGAGCGTTCCAAGGAGGAACGTCTCCATGATGTGAATATGAGAAGTAGTGTAGTATGACCATGGTAAAGCTGCTGATGGCTGTTCATCCTGATATTCCGTGAGTGCTCATCCTCATGTAGAGGGGAGTAGGTCATGCGTGGGAATGGCAGGAGGCCCTAGTCCTATTGAGTACTTTGGACTGATAGGGTTAACCTCGGGTGGCAGCTGATGGATGTTCCAGTTACTACACCACCCGGGTGCAAGAACGCCTGTAGATACATGGCATCATACAGTCCGGACAGTCTTTAATTATGAGAATTTGAATGAGTTACTGTATGCTGGGATATGTGTTTAATATTGTATGAACTGCATGACTTATTTTATAAGTTAAATTATGTTGATTTTATTGAATTAAATTACCTAAGCTTACCCTTGCAATTTCCTTGTGTTGTCTACTGTTTCTGTATGTCCGTCTTGTCAATGCAATGATCATCCGTTGTGGATGTGAGCAGATGGTGAGGCACCCCTTGAAACTATACTGGAAGAAGAAAATTTGGAGGATGCCAACCTTGTGGAAGTTGAAGTTAAAGCTGAGCAGTAGCGACCCGTTTCTGTAATAGCATTAGTCACTTTTCAGTGCTGTATTTTTGATAGTTCTGTGTATAGTTTTGCAGCGCTGTTCATACAGTATTAGTAGTAGTTAGTCTTTCTGTATAGCATTTTGGGACGTTGACTGTATATTTCTGCAGAACGTTTGTTCAGTAACTGGTTTTGTACCTTTTATGGATTTCTGAATACTGTAATTTGCTGAACATGCTGTTTTATTTTGAAGCAGCTGTTAATTATGCTGAGACTGCACTGTATTTTCTGTAAATGTGATTAGTTCTGATTAATAGTAATTACTATTTATTGGGATGTTACATTTATCAAGACATCCCACAGAAAGAAATTACAAAGCAAGACAAACATAAAATCTCATAATTCAAACAACCATTGCAGACCAAGATACCCAATATAATGCAAAGAAAAAGAAGAGCAAATAAAAAAACACCAGAGAGAAAGAAATAAAAGCCCAAAAACTAAATCTGATGCCAAAAATGAAATACAAAATTAAAAAAGAAAACCAGTTTTGTACTAAGGATTCGAAATGAAGGCACACAAGCTACACACAAACCATTACATCACCCTTTCCACTGAACCAAGCTTAGTTTGCTAATTAAGTAACCTCTTAATATTTATCTAACTTATTGCTTTTCGCTTATTTCTTCTTCTCCTTATTATTTTTATTTTAATTATAACTTGATTCAATTAAGTTCGATATGGCATAAAACATAATTATTAGACCTTTATTTCACTATACTAAATTAGGGCTAATTAAACAATATTATAATCGAGTTATTTTATTCAAAAGACAAGATTCTTATTTAGATCAAATTTTCAAATGAATCTACCAACAGGGTCTTACAATAATAATAATAATAATGATAATTAAAAAATAATAATAATAATAATGGTTGGGTCTCCTGAAAAGAAGTTTAAGGTTGGAAGAAAAAAATGGTTGTACTAGAAAGACTACATATATATATATATATATATAATGGTGTATTTTTAATTATATTTTTAAAATTTAAATATAATTTTATTTTAATTTCTTTAAATATAATTTTTTTAAAGATAAATAATCGATTTAGTACCATCAACATTAATATATTTTATTTTTAATGTAATAAATAATTATAATTAAAGTTTTAGTAGAAAATTTTATTTTTATTAATTTTGTTTGAATTCTATTGATGTAATTGAACTGTTACATATATTATTAAAGCCAAATAATATATATTTATTAAAGGTAAAATTAGTATTAATATATAATTAATTTTTAAAATATATTTTTTATTTTATAAATTTAAAATAATTAGTGGTGTTTCA